TTGGCACGAGGCGGAATCAGAAATTCGCAAATGACGAAATCGTTTCTAGATTTTCATCTTTTTGAATCTGGAACAAGCAAACGAGCAGTACGTTGCTTACAGATCCTTGTTTTGTATTTCTTGATACTAGGCGAAGTCCTTTATTCCTTCTCCGTCAAACATAACGTACAATCAATCACACTTGGGCTGCGATGAGGAGAACAGTGAGGGGAACGTCATTGTGTCTGTTCACCTAACCTCCAAGTTACGCGAGATAAAACAGTGATGATTCATGATAACTTATCGTTACTGCTAACAGGTTATTACCAAGCGCAAACCACTAATAGATATAGAAAAGCTATCAAAGCTATTCGTTTATTGTACATATTAAGTAATCGCTGCAGTGAAACCTTCGTCCAACAGCTTCGTCGATAATATATAATTAACTGAAAAACAACTACTTTCAAAAACTGGGATCTACGGCATCATGCTACATCGTTTTTCTCCTACATCCATAGGATTACGTTTAAAAAAGGTCTTGGTTTTTGTCGTGCGTCAGATTCCCCATGAAGATTTCTGCAATAATGGAGAAAGTGGACAGCGCATGGATGATCCTTTGGTTTCTTTGTAAAACTGACCACCTAAGGAGAAATAATTCATTCCTACCACACAATAAGTTGATTTCTAAGAGAACTGCATGACCATTTGGTGCATTCCTTCAGTGACGTTAATGAGAATATTAATGAACAAAATTAGCTTTATAATTACTGCGTATTTTATTCGTGTGTCAGTGATCATAGTGAAAACTTAAATGTATAATAATAATGTATAAATATAAGTTATTTATTCACAAAGCAACATAAACGTTTGAAATTGGACGAATGATCAGTACCGAAGTTTAGGTAGTCTGTCAAAAGCCTTCTTCAGGGTCGCCGAGGTTGACCTGCGCAGTTAGTTCTGTGGCTCCCAACTGTTATGACACACGCTTTTGGCCCATGCTGCTGTCTGAGTAGTTATTCAGTGATGACATGGACAAGATTATCCAATCCGTGTAAAGATTGTAAACTTTGTCTCGGTTGACATTTTCGCTGGATTGGATAATTAGGGCTTCTTTCGGACTCATGTGTTCAGCCAGTTTCTTCCTTTAATGATGCCTTAGCAATCCAATCTAAGCATTGGGGAACGTGACTTTCTCTACATGTTAC